GTTCCTTATTATTTACGGCTGGTATAGTAAAGGCAAAGTTTTCACAATCCTGCTCTGCCAGAGGAATGGTAAAAAAGCAATCCTTTAGATCAATTATAATTAAAGGCCAGTCTTTTGGAATCATGGCTGCGGAGGGCAACTCGGGTCGGAGAGGCCCCATGGGTTGAATTACAGCATTTATGGCTCTTAAGTCCATTAACACACGCCATTTGCCTGATTTTTTCTGAATTACAAATGCAGGAGAATTCCAGGGCAAGAATGAAGGCTCAGTGTGTCCCTTTTCTAATTGTTCCTTTGCTAATAAATGTAAAGCCTCCAGTTTTTGTTTCAGTAGCAGCCACTGATTTACCCATACCGGTTTTTCTGTTTTCCAAGTTAGTGGAATGGGTTTAGGAGGCTCTACAGTGGCCGCCCCTAAAAAGGATACCCTATTCCTTTTCTTTCTTGATTTTCCTCAGTCTCAATTGGGACTTTAATGCCATTTTCATTTTTTCCCAATCCCTTTCCTGGTATATATCCCATCTTAGTCATGATCTTTTGACTCGTGGGGCTGTATAATGGAGCGGGCATAATGATTTCTGCACCCCACTGTTGTAACAAATCTCGACCCCATAGACTAACAGGAATTGAAATAATCATTGGCTCAACAGTACTTTCTTGATTATCTGGCCCTAAACAATGTAAAATCATTGTACTTTGAGACACTTCTGAAGCTGTGCCTACGCCGACAAGTCTTGTAACAGCCTTTTGTTTAGGCCAATTTTTTGGCCACTGATTTAAAGCAATGACAGAGACATCTGTTCCAGTGTCTACCAATGCTTCAAACTGTTTTCCTTGAATAATGGTCTTACAGGTCTGCTCTCAGAGACCTGACTTGCCCAACATGCAGCCTTTCCTATCGGATCAGTGCTTCCAAACCCTCCTCTTCTTTTTATCTCACTGTTTCCAACTTTAATATAAGGTAGGAGTAATAATTGAGCAATCCTGTCTCCTGGACTGGCACTCCAAGGAATTAAGGAACTAATAACCAATTGAATTTCGCCTTTATAGTCTGAATCAACCACACCAGTACGAATTTGAACTCCCTTTAGATTTAAACTTGATCTTCCTAAGATTAGTCCTACAGTCCTCTCAGGTAATGGGCCCTATACTCCTGTGGAGATTTTTCATGGAGGCTCCCCTAGAAGCAGAGAGACTGCTTGTATAGTACATAAATCTACTGCTGCACTGCCACATGTGTGGGGGGGATAATTGCCGTATTGTGATAACTGGCTTATTCCCTGAGGCACTTGTGACAGTGGGGGTTGTTGTTCCTGAAAACCCTGAGGAACAAAAGGCTGAATTGGGAATGCCCCAGTTTGTTGCGGGGCCTGAGGCTGGCCCTCCTCTCGTTTCCCGACTGGTTGCCCATTTTTATCAAATTTAGAACGACATTGATTACCCCAATGTTTTCCCTTTTTACATCTTGTACATAGGCCAGGTGGCTCTTTATCTGTTGTAGTAGCTTGAGTAGTTATATTTTGTTTATTTGAGATGAGGCAATTCTTTTTTAGATGACCAATTTGACCACAATTATAACATTTTCCCCCAAATGTTCTAACTTGTCCTCCTAAAGTAACTCCTGTGATTGCTTGAGCCATAAGCATAGCTTTATGCATAGCCTCTCCAATTCCATCACAGGCTTTAACGTACTCTGAGATTACATCTGATCCTGCTGGGACCCTTCCTTTTAATGGTTTAATGGTTGATTGACAGTCAGGATTGACGTTTTCATATGCCATCAACTCCACTATGACCTTTCGGGCATTCTCATCGGTAACTGACTTTTGAGCAACATCTTGAAGCCTTGCTACAAAATCAGGGTAGGGCTCTTTAGAGCCTTGTCTTATTGTATTGAAGGAGGGGCAGGCGGTTCCTGGGTCTTGGATTTTCTCCCAGGCCCTAAGGCAGATAGTCCTAATTTGCTCAATGGCCTCATTTGGCATTATTACTTGTTGACTTAGCAGTGCTCCAATTTTGACCTGTTCCTAATAGTTGATCTACGTCTATGTTAATTGGAGGATTGGCAGTCATATTTCTTAGGACCTATTCTTGTGCCCCATCAATCCACTAAGTCTTAAATTGTAAAAATTAAGAGGGTGAGAGTGATGATTTTGCCAGAATCTCCCAATATAAGGAATGAGTCTGTGTTCACGAGCAATGGAATCTAATGATGTTCTCATGTGAGGAGAGTTAGGTCCATACTGTTTTACTCCCTCTTTCTTTTAGCATTTTTATAGAAAAGGACTCATATCTGGCTTCAGCTATGGGAGGCTCTCCCTCTTGGGCCCCTTCTCCAGGTGGTCTTGATTCTAATATTAGTGGGAATTGCCACGCTTCAATAGCTCCTTGTTCTCTTGCCTCATCAATAATTTTATGTAATGCACCACTCCGTCCACTAGGCAGTGCTGTAGGATTACGTTCCATGGTGGGCAGCTGAGGATTTAGCGCCCTGCCCTGTGGCGCTGGAAACATTCCTGGCTGTCCATATGGATTTTCTGGGGGCAGCCGATACTGAAGTTTGGCTGGCGGCCAGTATTGATAGGCTACTGGCGGCTGGGTCTTATTTTCTACCGGCTGATATTGTGGACACTGTATTTGGATTGGCATTGCCATGACAGAGACTCTATCTTTT